TCACTCTCATTGCCCAGGCTTGAGTGCAATGGCCCGATTTCAGCTCACTGCACCCTTCACCTCCCGGGTTCAAGCAGTTCTCCTGCCTGAGCCTCCTGAGTAGCTGGGACTACAGGCACCCGCTACCTTGCCCGGCTAGTTTTGTGTATTTTTCAGTAGAGACGGGGTTTCACGGGGTTAGCCAGGATGGTCTCAGTCTCCTGACCTCGTGATCCACCCTTCTCGGCCTCCCAAAGTGCTTGGATTACAGGCTTGAGCCACCGCGCTCGGCCTGAAATTTTTTAAATTTTTGTGAAATCCAGTTTACACTTGGCAGAATAAACCTGCGTTCTTTCTGAAGAGTTTCATTTTATGTTATATCTGTGTGTGAGTTAACCTACTTAGCGTTTATGATTTTTGATATCTAGGGTCTCTTTCCCTCAGTTATTTTCTACCAAGGACTCTGCAGAGCCAGGAAGGCATTTCTGAATGGGCGGTGTGTGCTTATCTATGTTATCTTTTTCTTTTTTTTTGATGACGTCTCACTGCATTGCCTGGGCTGGAGTGCAATGGCACAGTCTCCGCTCACTGCAACTTCTGCCTCCTGGGTTTAAGCAATTCTCCTGTCTCAGCCTCCTGAGTAGCTGGGATTACAGGCATGCACCACCATGCCTGGCTGATTTTGTGTTTTTAGTAGAGATGGGGTTTCTCCACTTCAGTCAGGATGGTCTCGAATTCCCGACCTCAGGTGATCCACTCACCTTGGCCTTCCACAGTGCTGCGATTACAGGCGTGAGCCACCGCGCCCGGCCTGAGTTGTCTTCCTAATTGTAAGATTTCCTTATATATTCTGGACATAAGTCATTTAACAGATACAAGATTTGCAACTACTTTCTCCAGTGTCATTTTTTTGCTTTTATTGTTATTTTTTGAGCATAAAGTTTTTATTTTTATTTTTAGTTTTGGGGGTGCTGTGTAGGATGACAGGTTTGTTACATTAGCACATGTGCCATGTGTGGTTTGCTGTTACCTGTAGCCGTCAACCTGGGTATTAGGCCCCAGGGCATTTTTCCTAATGGCCTCCCCGCTTCGCCAACCCTCCCTAATTATTTTTTTTTTTTTTTTTTTCTTTTTTATTGGACGAGTTCTCCTTGTTGCCAGGCTTGGAGTGCCGTGGGCCAGATCTCAGGCTCACTGGCAAGCTCGCTCCTGGTTTTTGCCTGTTTCCTGCCTCAGGCCCCGAAGTAGGCTGCGGACTCAGGCACCCGTAGCCTTTGCCGGCTGTTTTGGTATTTTCAGTAGTGACGGGGTTTACGGGGTTTGCCGGATGGTTCGAGC